GGCTACTTGCTCGAGAACGTGAGAAGCTAGAAGACTGGAATTTTGTGGGGATGTTTCCTGACAATTCTGGCGGCCAGTCTGAAATTCCTTGAGTTAGAAGCATCTGCCGAAAAAACCGATGCCGGTAGCGACAAAAACTGCGGGAACTCCGCAAAAAACGCATCTTCGCACGGGCAGCCCGTGTGTTGGCCAATTATTTTTTTTTTTTTTCAAGGGCTAAATCTTTATTTTTTGAGTGAAAACGCAAGGCATTTATCTTTTTCCAGCGATCACGCGAATTTTAAGAAATTGCTAAATTACCAATTTTTTGGAAGAGCAAAAATAGGACTTATCATCACACGTTATTTGAAAAAAAAAACGTTGTCCAGAAGTATTCTCCCAAAATTGCTTATGCCATGGTTGCTGTCATAAAAATCAAAAGAATGGAATTAAATTCGTTAACTTCTGATTAGTAGTTGGTGATTTTTCAGTATTCCACAGACAAGTGGTCCAAGCGGCACAAACACGAACTTGCCACCATCGACAGACACAGCTGCTGCTGGTGGTGGTGGTGGTGCTTCTGCTGCTTCTGCAGAAACTCGGACTGACAGTGCTCAGGGAAGTACAGCGATGAACAACAACATGTCGCAGGCGCAGAACGAACCGCCCAGTAGCAGCAGTCCAGTTGAAAGCTCAAATAATATCAAAAGCAGTGCCTTATTATCCGATAATGATACGACAGCAGCGTCCAGCGCAACAGCACCCAGTGAGCTGGAAGAAATCCGCCAGAGGAGGCTGCATAAGTTCGCATCATCTAGTGAAGCCAAACCAACAACCCAGTAGAATAGCGGCAACTGTTAATTGCTAAATCTTTACGGAATTTTTTTTATCTGTTCAGTTTTTTGCCATTCGTGCGTTTTTACGATTTTTCTGTTTTTATTCAAAATTTTCAAAACATTTTTATCTTTTTTTTTCAAAAGGCTTTTCGCGGTGTGGTGTACAGAATCCAGATTTGAAGTGTTTCTGCAGACATCTGCTTTTATCTGTTTTTATTTCTTGTGATATTTACAATTTTCGGTTTTATGTATGTTTAGGCGTTTTTGTTTTAGCTTACTAGTTTTTATTCGGCTGCTTCGGACCGGAAAAGTGATGTATATAATCCGGATTTGAACTCTTCCCAAGGACGTTTGCTGTTTATCTGTTTTGCTGTCTTGTACAATATGCAGCTGTGTTTTTATGAATATTTTTTTTTTTTTTTTGGAAGTGGCTTTGTGTTTTTCGGCCAACACGGTCCGGATGAAATCTCGGAACTTTTATTGAGGTAGTACTGCTGATACCTGTAAGGTTTTGCATTAAAAGTCAACTTTTCGTGATTGTCGATTCCCTCCCATGATGATCCGCACCAAACAGACAGCAGTGCCCAGTACTGAGGACCTAAGTTCAGCATTTTCGTTGGATAAAGGTCCTGCACTATTCTTGGTACGTTATCAGCAGTATAGATGCTTCTCATTTTCCAATCGGAGATCCGAAACACGGTGGATATCATGAATGTCCATCCAGCCCTCTTCTAAATTCCGTGGCTTACGTTTGTTACTGCGGCATCGTGACACAGATCGCCAGAACACTGATGGCAAGTGTGGGTATACTTGTGTATAGAATGGTCACTGTCTCTGCCCTAGTCTTGTCCTGTGCCGTAGCATTCAAATTCAAGTAGATGCTGTAATTTGAAAATGGAGTAAACTAGAAATCCGAAATTTTTTGCAATGCCTGTTTGTCTCAGAACCCACATTAGTGCGCCGAAAATGTCCCCACATCCATCCGATGCATACGCAGAGGCTGCAGAAAATGCTTGATTGTGCGGATTCTGGCGCCATTTATCAGAAACAGTTGAAATAAATGAATTTCCATTGCGGGAAGCATCGTGTGTTTCGTAATCACGGACAGCCGGAAACCGTATAGGTTCATTTCCCAGAAGCTTGATTTCCTGCTTCTTGCTCCGGCACAATTTTGCCTTGTTGCTAATCGCATATATTCAAATATCCGCTGGAATTCAACCACAGTTGACTGCATGGCGTTGTCGGTTCACAGAAAGTGAGAAGCGGCGACTGAGTGTTGTAAATCCTCTAATGTCAGCACGCTGAAGCAAAGAAATTTGAATGCCGGGGACGAAGGCGTTGGAGCAGACGCTGCTGGATGAGCTGGTAAACGGGTGCCTTCTTGATTTATGTTGGCCCGGGTGAGGGCAAGATTCCTTCATCTGATACACGGAACTCTCAGATGGTCCGTAAAATGGGACTTGTTACTCGTCTAGAGAATTACAAGCGAGCGGTTTCTCTGCTCGTCATTGCTAGAAATCGGTGGGCAGCAAGAAATAGTGAGTGACGCTTATTCAAGTTTTCTCGGTTTGAACAGGATTTTAAGCCGCAACTGGATTAATGCGTACTCAGTCAAAGCTGGCCAATCCGGACATTTTACTTACTTTTTTTTTTATAGTGAAATGTGTCTACACACGTAATTTTTGTGCTCTTTCACTAAAAGTCCAGGTTTTTTGGGCGCATTTCTATTCCTACTTGTCCCTCCCACACGTGTATTCTTACGCTCAGGATGGTGCGGTTGTATCGTCGTTGTATTTACGCAGCACTGTTGCAGGATGGCTGTAAAAGAATGTTGCAGTGTTGTTCAGTGAAGAAATTGCATGGCAGCACACCGGAAGTTCACATTTGATGATCCGGCGGATAGCTACTGGAATGCGAATGGCCCCGCCAACGTCTCACTTTTCGGCGATGTGCCATCGACCAGTAATGCGGTAACTGGCTTTTATGTTATCAAAGGGATTTTTCTAATGGCAAGGGAAATACTTGCCTGAAGTTCACCTGTTTGGACTGCACTCTTGAGCCAAATTTCACCAGGCATAAAAAAAGAAGCAGTTTCTAGTGGGGAATGGCCAAAATGATCCTTTCATTCAATCAGACTGTTATATTTTAAAACTGCTCACGGTTCCTCCTCTGTTCTGAAGCAGAAGGACCAGTGATTTAAACCTGAACGGCTTTATAGTCTTCACAGTGACTTTCCCTGGCTTTGATGGCATAAGTCGCTGCATTTTTTCCTTCCGTTCCCAAATAATATAAGTTGGATAGTGCAATTAGCCTGCAAAAAGACGGTAAATTTGTTTCCCCACTCGAAAAAGCAGTCGCTTTCTTGGATGCGAGCGGGAAGAGTGGAATTTTAATTATTCAAAAGTAACGGAAAACTTTCTTGATGGTACTTGGATTAAACGATCGAAGAAACGAAAAGCATTTGAAAATTTGCGCACTGATAACAAAAGATGATGCAAAATGCCACAGCTGCACCTGTTGTATGACCGTACCCTAGCCGTGTCTGGTCCTCACACCCAATAACCTCGGGAGCATTAGTGAAAATCCGGAGCGTGATTATAAATTAAATGATAGATTCGTGCATGATTATAAGTGTTTTGCATGAAGCACGGTCGCTTTTCCAGTGGAACGACCGTATGCAAATTGGAAGGAATTCGCAAGAGGATTATGAAATTCGCAAAATGCACTCGCTCTTGAGCTTACGACGAAACTGAGTATTTGCCATGTCGACGTTCAGGGAATTTTACCTCCAAACTGGATTAAGACCACACGTGAATATAGAATATTACTGCAAAGTTTTAGTTTCGCAGCTTGTCCAGTAAACGAAATAGTCACTTCGTTACAAATATCTTTGAAGTATCCTAAGTCGTGGCACAAGCGCAAATCGAAACACAGTTTAGGTATAAGATTTTCCAAATGAAGGACAAATATTCTGAATTCTAATAAAATTTCAGCTAATGTTTTTCAACTAGTTTTGGATTTGGCACAGTGCCCAGTGCGAACTTGTACATGACTGTACGCATGGTGCAATCTTGTGCGATATCTTAATTTGAAGTCTTTAGCTCACAAATGCTTTGAGGATGCTCCTGCAAAGTTTCAGCTTTCTTTAGCATATACAATAAAACCTTGGACTACCCATTCACAGCTAATTACGGTGGGCATCCTGATAGCGATATGGACCTTACGGTACAAGAAGGTGTTATTATATCACAAATATTTCGTTATGCACATCCCACAGGGGTTTTTTGACAGGGCTAGACGCCTTATAAACATCTATAGGCAAAAAAAAAAAAGTTTAATATTACCAATGTAGAATGCTCTGTTCGAAGATTTTGCTTCAGGAACCGATCAGTACTGAGCAAATTCATCTACCTCGATGATGCAGAAATTAAACACATAGTTACTACGTTTTTCTCATAAAAGTTGCCTCCTCATAACTACGCAGAATTACTACCCGTATCATATGTTAGCTTCCTTCCCTTCCACCTGCTTCATCATTCTTATTACTTTCACGCTATTGCACTTTCTCTCCTCTCTTTTTCTTTCACACATCCATCTTGCAAATTAGTTACATCTCCTTTCAATACATGGCGGGTAGGAGGCTGTACTGAGACTCCCACTCCTCCCCGCATGCATAGTCCGGAATGTATTTACAGCTAAGGAATGAAACACAGACTGCATCGTAAAATATCACCTTATTACATTTAAAGGGTGAAAGGCACTTTGCATCGTGAAATATCACCTTACACATGACGACTGAGTACAGTCCTTCTGGTCTATTATTTCCAACTTGCCCGGTCACGAAGTCTTTCCCCACCAAAGGGTCTGCATATTTTTTCCTGGGTCCGAACGCAAGATCTAGTCCTGCATGAGCGATGATTTTAAAACGGGCGGGTGACATGTGGGACGGGAACATGCCTCCAAAGTTTCAGCTTCCCAGTCTTCTTGGTGAATGAGTTCAAAGTAAGTAACAATATTCATTTGCTTCCGAACAATATGTGTTTTTGTTCACTACAGCAGCGCTACAGCGCCGCACAGTAAAAACGCTTAACTCACGCTGAAACGCACGAGGCTGGCCGGTGCGATCATGAGTTTTTGCGGTATTTCGTGCTGTAGCAAGATCGCAAGGAGTCACAGTAGCTAGAATTTATGTCGCACTGGCCCTTGAAGTTCACGAAGTTAATTGTGCATCCATATGACATGCCAGTTGTAGATGTCGGATTCAGTAATCCGACTAATGGAAAGTTGCTGGTGCGCGAGAAACGCCTTACTGAAGTAGCTGAATTTGAAATTTTTTTGGTCGTACATGAGAAGGGAACATTCTCTTAAAATTCCAGTCTTCCAGCTTTTCTCGTTCTCGAGTTGGTGATTTTCCCGCCAAGAATTTCACGTATGCGTGCACGAGATGTAGGCGTGCGTGACAGTTGACATCACGTCCCTGGGATCGCACTTAGTCAGTGAGCGCACTGGCAAAATTTTAACATTAAGGTTTGCGTGGTTGGCGGGCCCGGACAGACGAACACACACATACGCAAACATACACACACACAGTGTCGTCGCAATATGCGTTTTTGCTGCATGTTACAACGCTCTGGTGCTGCATGGCAAAAACGCATAAAAAGCATATTTATTATGCGTTTTTTTGCAGCTATGCAATGCGAAAGACGCATATTGACGAGAGGTTGTCCGTGTGTGTGTGTGTGTGTGTCTGTGTGTGTGTCTGTGTGTTTATGTGTGCGCAGGGCCTCTGTACCGATTTTTCACCTCGAGACCTACAAAAGCTACAGGGCTGAAACTTTGGGGACTTAGTCTACATGCACGTACGGGCTCCCATCCCCAAAATGGGGGTTTTACCCGCGTGGTACCAACGTAAGAGCCCGCCAAAGTTTTTCACGGGTAAGCTGCTAACTCGCGAACCAGAAAAGCTAGAAAGCTGAAATTTTAAGGGGATGTTCCCCATCCAAGTAGGTACTAATGAACTCAAAACCAGCCCTCGGGTAAGCGTGGTGCCCGCGTGCGGGCCCGCCAAGATTTTTCCCGGGCAAGTTCATAACTCGGGGATCTGAGATGCTAGAAAGCTGAAATCTTAAGATGACGTTCCCCGTCCAGGTAGGTATTAATGGGCTCAAATCCAGCCCCCGAGTAAGCATGGTTCCCACGTATGGGCCCGCCAAAATTTTTTTCGGGCAAGCTGTTAACTCGAGAACCTGAAAAGCTAGAAGGCTGTAATATAAAGAGGATGTTGCCCGTCTACATTGGTCTCAGCGAGTTCAAACTCAGCCCTCGGTCATGCGTGGTACCTATGCACGGATTCACTAAAGTTTTTTCGAGTAAGTTGCTAACTCGAGAACCTGAAAACCTAAAAACTGTAGTTTTAAGATGTCCCCCATCCAAGTAAGTCCCAACGAGCTCAAACCCAGACATCGGGTATGCATAGTGCTCGCTTGTGGGCCCGTGAAAGTTTTTTCCAGTAACTTGCTAACTCAGGAGCCAGGAAAGCTAGAAAGCTAAAATTTTAAGTGGGTGTTTCCTGCCAGTTCTGGCAGCCAGTCTTAATTTGTTTAGCTAGAAGCATTTGGCGAAAAAACCGATGCCGGTAGCGACAAAAACTGCGGGGAACTATGCAAAAAACGCATCTTCGCATGGGCAGCCTATGCGTTGGCCAATTATTGTATTTATGCAAATGAAGTTTGGTTCGCCAACCACGCAGCTGGCAATTTCTTCATTTGCTCTGACTAGTGCTGCTTCACCTGGTGGTGTTCAGCTTGTGTTTTAGTTTTTGGAGAACCGGTCTGTGAATTACAACTGATAGAGGTAAGTATGCAGTTGAAGTCGATGTTTTGCCTGCGCAATATTTGCGCTAAGCATATCGTGCCTATGTAAAATCTAAAAACACATTTATTGAGTCTGTGCAAATTAAGTTATATTTCTTCAGTACGGCAGTTCCGCTACGCATTTTGCTCCTATTAGCACTACATTGCACTGTACATTTTGCATTGATAAACTCGTATTTCTCTCTCCCTTAAAGTACAACTAAGCTACTAACAATCAAAACCTGTCCTGAAGCAATCGAGTATCTGCTCCGCATTCTCTTTTCTTCACATTTTATATTACAATGGTAGTAGCCATACGATAGCTGAACAGTGTATGCAAATAATAATAACAGCGCATCAGAATAATGTTAAAATTCTTATAGGCGGCAGCAAGAGCTGCTTTGGAGGATCTGTTCGAAAGTAGAATTCCTTTCGGTAGTGACGATGGATCGTCGAATACAGAAAGCGAGCCCGTTTTGACAGTGAATCTTTTTAAGTAAGCTCGATCACTTCACTGATTTATGTCATACAGGCTTCATACTTTCCCTGTGATTCTGATATCCGTATAATACCGTGCTTTTCGGACAGTATTCGTAAATTTGAGCAGTTACAAAAACTCTGCTTAGCTCGGCTCGGCTGATGGCTGATGGTGTTTGGAAAGCGCTTTAGCATCTCTGCCTACGCTATTCCACGGCGTTACTCGGCGGAACGGCTTGGCACTTAGCCAGACGCGCTGGGTAACGCTACCTAGTGCTTGGCGGCTGGTTCGCGCCGTTGGGGGTGGTGGATGGGGAGGAGAGGGGGTTGGACGTGATTGAGGGTGTTGGTTGGCAGGTGCCCAGATGCAACTCAAAGGGCACGGTTGGGGCTAGGATAGTGAAGGGAACGAAAGTGCTGGTCAGGAGTTGAGGACAATAAATCGTGACAGCGATTGGGGAAGGGCGGGGTGACGGGCCAGTTAATCTTTTGGTGAATAACAGTTCTGCTCTGTAAAACCGTTGGGAATTTTTTCATCAGAATTAACTTCTCCATATGTGAGACACAGACATACTCATAAACTGAATTTGAGGTTTTTAAATCGCCCACGCACACAGAACATTCTGCGAAAATTTGAACTTTCTATCTTGTTTGGTTCCTGAGTTGAAAAATTTCCAAATATCCTCTTGTCCGTGCGTGAGATCTAAGCGCATTTAGGAAGTGAATTTGAAATCTTCGGTTCGTACATGAGCGGAGAACATACTCTTAAAATTCAAGCTTCTTAGCTTTTTTGATTTTCCAGTTAATAGTTTTCCGCTAAAATTTTCACGTGTCGTATGTGAGAGCCACATGATTTTGGTTTTGAAATCGTTTGGTCGCATACAGGCGGAGAATATCTCCCTAAAACTTCAATTTCCTAACTGTTCTTGTTTGCGAGTGCTGGTGCACGAAAAAGATTCCACGCAGATTTGTTGTGTTTCGTTACAAAAATTTCAGGAATGGTGCAGGTGGTGCAACGTCAGGCCTTTCTTCACTTCGCAGTACCGAGGTCTGTTTATTCATCATTGTGAAGGTCGTTTTTGGAGGTTGCTGTTACCGATTCATTATTGGCAGGACCTTCGAGAACTTTCTTTGTCTTTTTTTTTGCATTATTATTCGTTTGATTCACGCCCGCTTAAAACGGATCATTTGGCTCTCAATGTACCCTCTTTAGGAGAATTCGTTGGACCGAAAATTCTCTTCCAAGTCAGCTGCCTCCATTGTTTCTGATGGCAGTGCCGACTCGTTTTCGAATAATGCAACAGCGCAGCTGGACTATTCCAGGCTGAAGAGTGAGCACAGGAAATTACAGAAACATCTCGAGGTTTTTGTTCTGAATGTTCCTGTTCAAATATGGATGCTGGCTAAAGAGAACTAAAGCACACATAAAATAAAAATATCCAAGAACTTGAGGAAGAAGCGCAGTTGCTTCATTGCCAAACTGCAGTAGCTGTAAACCTCACCCGCCTCTTCCCATGTTACATCGCATTACAGCGTAATTCTGCAGTAGTGCCCAGACAAATAGGTTGTGCTTATAATTACATAATTTTTTGTTTTGATGACAAATTACACCACAACTTCATGTTATTTTTCAGCAAGTGAGATTAGAGCGCTATCGAGCAGCGGATCCTGAAGTCACGATTCGCAGATTATTAAGAGGCGATTCCGTTACATTGGATTTGTATCGGAGTAAGAAAGAGAAGCTGAACCTTTTGGACGCTGCTTTAGATTCTTATGACGGGAATGTCATAATTGCTGTCAGTTTTTTAGTCGGAATATTTCTTTATTTGCTAATCAGCTTCAAAACTTCCTTTTCGCTATAATTTGGTACCATTATTTGTCTTTGTTGTCTCCTTGGCCATATTTTGATTTTGTTGTCTCCTTGGTTCCTTCGGTTAATCTTCATGCTCCCTTGGTTGGCTTTTGTGTCCCTTGCCTCAGTGCTGCTTTCAGTATTATGTGTTTTGTGCTATGTAACAGCAGTACAAAACGCATATTGTTACGGGGTTGTCTTTGTGTTTGTGTGTGTATGTGTCCCACATTTTGTCTTGCACTTTCAACTCGAGAAACGCTAGACGGCTGAAATTTTAGTATAATGTTCCCCGCCAACGGATGATACTGCAAATTTAAGTTCAGCCCGTATCCGCGAGTAACACGTACGGCCTCGTAAAAATTTTCCGGGTAAAATCAATATTTTCCGGGTAATTGGGAACCACGGAAGATAGAAGGCTAAAATTTTGTGAGTATGTCTCACGCTCATGTGTTACCCAGGAAATTTAAATTCAGCTTTCCCGTGCCCGCGAATAGCAAGTACAGCCCCGTGAAAAATTTTTGACGGGTAAATTATTATCTTGGGATGGTCTAGGAAGCTGAAATTTTAGGATAATGACCTCCTGCCCGCACTCAACCTTGCCCATTCAAATTCAGCGTTCCCGCACTTTCGGGTATCACCTACGGGCTAGTGAAAGTTTTAATGGGTAAATTATTATCTCGGAAACCACGGGGTCTAGGAGGCTGGAATTTTAGGGTAATGACCCTCTGCCCACGCTCAACCCTGCCCATTCAAGTTCAGCGTTCCCGCGCTCTCGAAACTACGGCCTCGTTAAAGTTTTGGTGGGTAAACTATTAACTCGGGAATGACGGAAAGACATTTACCCTTCAAGGTTTCGAATCCAACTTTCATGCGCAGGTGCATGAAATTTCCAACTATTTTTCAATATTTCAAGTATTTTTGCGTAGGCTAAAGTACGAAGCAGTAAAAGTCATTGATAGGCAATCGTTCGATGGGCTGAATTGCACAAAACTCATGATCGCGCCGGCTAGGCTGATGCGCGTTGCCGTGTATTTTTCAGTGTGATGATTTTGGGTGTCTTGATAGCGTACCAGAGTAGCCGGTGTGATCGTGCGTTTTGCGCAGTTCCGTTTAGCGAACGTTTGTCTGCTAAGGATTTTTACTGCTTTGTACTTTGGTCTGTGCAAAAATAGTTGAAATGCTCCTAATTTGCGAAATTTCCTACCAAAAATTTTGCGTACCGGTAAGTGAAAGCTGGGTTTGAAACCTTAGACGGTGTACATCCTTCCAGGATTTCAATCTCATAATTTTTTGGCTTTCGGGCAATTTTCGCGCCGAAACTTTCAGGTGCGTACGCGAGACCTTGGCATACTTGGGAACTAAATTTGAGTTTGTGAGGCCCCTGCATGAGCAAAAAACATTCTTCTGGAATTTTCGGCCTCCTAGTTCATTTGGTTCCAGAGATAATATTCCCGCCAAAACTTTCACATGGACCTTAAAGCCTAGGCGTACATGCAAGCTAATTTTGAATTTACGGGGTCGTACGTGGGCAGGAAACACTCTCCTAAAATTTCAGTTTCCTAGCTTTCGTGATTCCCGAGGCAGTAATTTTCCCTGCCAAGTCTTTTACGTGATACCCAGTGATGGTGGAAGGTTGATTTCAAATTTGCGGGTTGTACTTGGGCAGGAGACATCCTAAAATTTAAGATTCCCAACTTTCGCGGTTCCTTAGATAATACTTTTCCCCGCCAAACTTTCGGGGGGCCGTACGTGCTATCCGGGCGCGTTGGAAGGCTGAATTTAAATTTCCGGGTTTTATGTGGGTAGTGGACATTACCGCAAAATTTGAGCTTCCTAGCTTTCATAGTTCCCGAGATAGTAATTTTCCTCACCAAAACATTTACGTGGTCGTTCATGGGCAAAAAACATTCAATTAAATTTCCAGTCTTCTAGGTTTTGTAGTTCACAAGTTGAAAATTGCAGACAAAATGCACCGAACACACACACACACACACACGCATACATACAGACAACACCGGGACAATGTGCGTTTTGTGCAGCAGTTGCACAACACAAAACGCATAAAAAGGAAACAGCAGCCTCCGGTTACCCCTTGGGCAAGAAACTTGTAAAAATTTGTTGGAAAATCAAATGACATGCCTACCAGTTTTTTATGCGTTTTTGCATATATGCAAATGCAGAACGCATATTGTGACGACACTGGTGTGTGTCCGGGTATTTCAGCTAGGTAACCAAGCAAGCTCCAGCGTCAAAATTTTACCAGAAGCTTTCCCGGCCAATTGTCACCCCAGGGTCGCGTACGGCTACGCGAAAGTTTTGGCGGGAAGACTGCCGACCCGAGAACCAGGAAAGCTGGGAGGCTGAAATTTTCAGGGGATGTTTCCAGCCCACGTACAACTTAAAGGTTTCAAATTCAGCCTCCAGTTACGCGTGGTACTCAAGTACGGTTCAGTAAAAGTTTTTTGGGGTGAAAATCGCTAGCTCGGGAACCTGGAATGCTGAAGTTTTAACATAATGTTCCCTTTCCAAGTTCCACGTGGTAGTTGTACAATTAACTTCCTGAAGTTTGAGGACTAGCATGTCACAAATTCTACCTATTGTGGTTCCAAGCGATCTTACTACAGCACGAAACTGCAATGACGCATGATCACACGGCCCGCCTGGTGCACATCACCAATGATTTTATGCGGTTTTGCTTTAGCGCTGCCACTGCGGGCAAAAACGCATATTGTTAAGAGATCATCTGTGTGTGTGTTCGGAAGTGAGTGATTTTTGTCACCTATTTCCAATGCAACATGCAGAAAAGCTGGAAGGCTGGAATTTTGAGGTCACATTTCCACCCCGTGTGTCACCCTTCCGTTTTAAAATTTTCGCTCATACATGATTAGATCTCGCGTACGGACCTCCGGGAAACGACTTCGTGAATCAGGCAAAACAGAAAGTTGAAACTTTGCAGGGATATTTTCTGTGCATGTATGAGCTAAAGACTTTGAATTCAGCTATCGCACATGCTTGTACTGCACGTGCGGTAGCGTCAGAGTTCTCAGTTGACAATGTGCTAACTCGAAAGCTGGCTGGAAAATAGTAGCTGAAACTTTGTCAAAATATTTGTTTTTCTACATCAAATCATATAACTAAATTGAGTTTCGATTTGCACTTGCACCACGACTTCAGGCATTTTAAAGATATTAGTGGCGAATTTGCATTTTTTCAGTGAGCGAGCGTTCACCGGAAAAACGACCGGGCTTCATGCAGAAAACTGACAATCACGCGCGGTGGAGTTCCGTGCGGCCTCATAATACAGCGCTCTCATCCCAGCCGACGTCGTCTAGGGGAGAGGCGAAAACACAGCCAGTATGAGTCCAAGTGTTAAACTGCAGCGCAAAAACTATCCTTGCCGTTAGCAACCTGTAAGTTTAGCGCAAAAATGCATAAGTTTGCTGGCAAATCTGGTGCGTTACTGCCTGAGTTGAAATCAGTTACCCAGCTAGTGATTTTTTTTTAGGTAGTGCTATCACTGGAGAAATCGCTGGAGACTTCTATTTTTTTGGATATTTTGGCACAGAAGCCTGTAGCTGCGGATCACTACATGGCTTATCTCAAGGAGATGGAGGCATTTGAGCAGCTCGCTTCAACTTTGTCGTAATTTTCCTTCTTTTCTGAGTCAGAGATATTGCTTTTGCACAGGAATTCCGTTACCAGGGGGAATAACTGACGCAATAGGGGCTCTGATAAAACCTCTATAAATTGCGAGTAATCGCACTTCAAAGCATGAAAGATTGTTCAGCCCGCTAGAATCCATTTACTTCATTGACATTTGGCACCTTGGCGACTTCACGCACCATCTTGCCTCATACACTGTTCATTAACATTTTTCTTTGTTAGTCACTGGTTAGTACTGGTGAAATCTTATTGCCATGAAAATCCTCGTGTAATAAAGCGTTGAGAGGCTGAAACTTCTCCTATCGAGCTATGCTATGTACGTAATCATCAATATATTAGAAAATTGTGAAAAGTCACAGTGGTTGGGGGATAAGTGAGTAATTTATGTAGTCTTAACTGCGCATATTTTCCTTCCTACACAGCGGATTTTAGCCTCATTGAAAAGTAAAGTAACTGCGCGTCTTCCCTTTACTGTTCTTCCCTTCCGATTCTTGGTCAAACGTATTGTCTAATGATTGCTAATATGTATGTTAACGATAATTTGCTCAGTGCAGAGGTTCTGTTTAGGGCCCTCGAACGACCCGAAGAAGCAGTGATGGTGCTTTACTGTGTTGCTTGCAAGAAACCGCCCAGCGAACGAATCTCACATTTGAAGAGATGTGTAAATGCTTGTTATACGGATGGATCATTGGAGAACCTTTCTGCAGTTCTGAACGAGTACATTGATCTTCTACAACGACAGATGGTCATTGAAGTGCCTTTTCAAATTTTTCTTTTTTATTTGAAAATTTGTTCATCAAAAACAGTGTATCAAGCGGCCCGTTTCGAAGTGGTCAGCGGTCGGACTGGTCATATTGTGACTACTTAGAAGAAAGTACATATTTTACTGATGCTTCATGATTGCATCAAAAGATGAACTCAAACTTTCTTATGCGCTTATAACTACAGACAAATAAACTGAGAAATGGGTCGTGCTCCTTCAGCAGAATCCAATTGAAATGGCGCATACATGCCTGTTTCTGAATTCAAAGAGGAGGAGTAGAGGGAGGAGCTTTATTCGTTTAACAAATATAATCTCAAAATAATGATGCTATAGTGAGTTGCGACTCTTGCATCTTGGTGAAGTACCTGGAAAAGCTAGGATGGAAAGGTCACTTTAAGTTCCATAAAAGCTCCCAAAAAATGTTGTTTGCAAAAGTTCGGAAAATGAGTTAATCTGTACAGTGTGCTTGAATATTTCTGCGGATCACTGTATTAAAACGCTTTCTGATTTGGTTAAGCCGACGACGGTGCACGAATGCCATCGGATGCTACTCCAGAAAAGAAAACGTACACTTGGGGCACAACAATGCGGTCGTTTCATTTGGGGCATTATTTGGTGAAGGGGGGGGGGGGGGGGGGGGGGGGGGGGGG